TATATTATATATTGTCTGAAGCAATAATTTGTTTTATCTAATATCCCCAATCAATTATAAAATTTTGCAATTAAATATTTTTTTTTCTTTTATCAGAAAAATTAAACAGACTTTTCTAATGAATCAATTTTATAGAGAATAATTTAAAATTTTATAAGAAATAACTAATTCTTATTAATTCTCTTAATTTATGTAAAATTGTTGATTGAATATAAGAATAGAAGGCATTAAAATGTGAATAGAAAGGTTTCCAACCAAAAAAAAAAAAAGTGAATAGAAAGGAAGTATCGTAATCAGCTAATTAAACGGCGAGATTGATGAAAATGAAATTGATGGACGGGTCCTTACATGTGAAGTTACAAGACTTTTTATAATTATCTCGTGAAACTTTTTTAAACTTTTTATCTTCGTTTGTAATTTCCTTTTCTTCTAAGGAAATTCCACACCAAAAAACAAAAAAAGTTTTCTTGATGACCCCACACACACACAAAAAAAACACGGAATAGGGAAACTTGTTCTGCGACAAAAAAAAAAGTAGCTTCTAACATTAAAAATAATAAATAACATATCATTTTAAATATATATACTCGCATATACTGATTTTTTATTTGTCCTAAATGTAAGAGTTGACTGAAGAATTTGTTTTGATCCTAGATACACGTATTCAATCTACCTTATTTTCCAAATTGATAATTTTTCTTCTCAAATTCTCCTTATTAAATACACATATTAAGAAAGTGATTTTGATATAAATGATTAAAAGAGAAATTTTTTAAGAAATAAATATACAATTTTTTAACTAACTAACATACATATTTTTTAACATCTATAAATAAGCAGCATAATTCTCATACTTAGGATTGGAATATATATATATATATATATATTTGAAAAATCTCATGTTGTGGTATTAAACATTTGTTTTACTAGGTAGGGAGACAACCAAATCATGCTGGAGGGGGAGGGTAGCCCCAAGCCATGTGGGGAGCTACAAACAGTAATGACGTTATTGCCCTTATGCGCGACTTATTAAATGGGTGATAAACAAGGTTAGTTTTGGGATGAAAGAATTTATGAGAAATTGGTTCAATGGGGCATATAAGTACGTTGTTGAAAATTAATGTTTCGGGTGGTGGCAGGTCACATGCAAGGCAAATATCCTCTAACTCAAAAGCTGAGGTTCTTTTTTTTTTTTTTTTTTAAGTTTGTTCCTTTAGAAAGAGAAATAAAAAGGAAAATTGGATGGCAATGGTATTTGCAATTTTGTATTGGATGATACATAGATAAAATAAAACCGCAATTTCTTTCAATTTAAATGGCACAAGTGGTTATATATAGTTATTAAGATTTTACATAAATAATTTTTTCACCATAGAAAATTAAAGACTACTGCTTTCCCTTGCTTTAAATATGTTTTCTTCATGCTTCGTTTTAATTATAGTAAGTATAATTTTCAAAACAACGACATGGAAATTTTTTTAATTGTTTATTGCCTATTCCATAATTTTATTATGAAAGAAAATCTAATAAGAATGATATAAGTCACGGAGTTAAGTAGGATGATATTTCGATTTTGTCTAACAATTTTTTTTTTTGTTGAGAAGTTTGTTCGATTACTTTGAGACGAAGTAATTATATGAAGCTGCTTTCTGTTTTTTAATTTATTTCGGTGGGCCAGCCCAAGGTCCACTCTAATAGCTTTTTCTCAAAAGGTTAAAGCCCAAACTAAATGGACATATTTATAAGACAGGCAATTTCATAACATTTTTTAAGCACCTGAATTAATGACTTAATCTAGGAGTTATGAAGCAACATTAATATTAATATTTATATTTTTATTATAAAACATTGAATGAGGATTGATGGGGAAAAACTACGAACCAAACAAACATATAATAGCAGCGTGGGAATCGTTATCAATAATAAATAATAAATAAATAATCACATCAGGATGGGCTTTTCTGATGTAACCAAATACTGTGCATGCTTAAAATATGGTATGCTGTGATTGTTGTTGATGTTTTTGTCACACACACACACACATATTTTGGCATATTTTTTATATACTCATTTATATTTATTAACTCGTTTGGTCAAAAAAAATGTTTATTTGTTAAATTCAAATGAATTCACTTCCAAATGTTGAATAAAACTAGGTTAGCCGTGCGGCATTCCATGTGTATGAAAAATTTAAACAAAAAATACAGTGCACTCAAAACCACAAAAAACAAGATATATATATATATAATTTTTTAATAATTTTTATACAATGGTATTTTTAATTTTCATTTGAAAATCCAAGATTAAAATTATCTGTAATACTTTTATCCATAAAAAAATGCTGCAAAGTCGTTTATCCATGGGCTTTGGACAATATGATGTGATGTAGGGATGGGGCCATACATTATCTATCTTTTTGTTAGCAAAAACAAAAAAGTTCCTCTCGCAACAACAAAGATTCAAATTTCTTTTAGAAAAGATGTCCATATTTAATGTTGGACAGCATCTCAAATAGAATTATTTCTGATAAGAATGTACATAATTTCATTCTTTCAGTATCGTAAAATGAGCAAAAAAATCTGTTTAATGTTTTAAACTCAATAGATCTTTGAGGATGTCTTCACATTTGAATATGCTTGGATATATGTTTAATGGTTTATGATCAACAAATATGCATATTCACTACATTATCATGGGCCATATTGCAATAAAAAAGTTACATAATGAAAATCAATTAAAAAAATTAGTATTTATAGTTTTTTCCAGTTTTAGTAAAAAACAAAAAAGGTAGAGAACTAAATCTTACTGTTAGCTGCACACGAGGATGAACATCACAATTAGGGAAATACAAGAAAAGGGAAATTAAAGCTTCATTTTAATACCACTAGACATTTTATATTTCATTTATATTTCTGCTTATATACTTTTTAGGTTATTTGGCCAAAATATTTATGATTTTGATGTAAAGCATAGGGGCTGCTTAGTAAAGAAAAAGTCTAAAAAGGAAAGGAAGAATTAAAAAGAAAAACACATGGTGCTTTTTAAATTGGAGGTGCTTTTTATTTCGGTCAAGTATATTGGGCCACTTATACATAATCTTTTGCCTTTTTCTTTTTTTCCTTTTTGAAAACATTCTTCTCCATCTTCTTATACCTGTTCTGCCAAAAGAATAATCACAGCGTGTTTGGCAAATAACTTTTTTGGTCAGAAATTGGCACAATAACTTATCAGCAAAGAAAAAAAATTTCGTGCTGTCGATGAACAAAATATGACTTGAATATTGTATTCTTCTGCTCTGCCGAACTGTGTAGAAGGAAAAAAAAAATTGAAAGACTACAATAAAAGTTGTGTAAGTCAAATGAAATGCATAACCGAAAAAAAGGAATAAAAATTATATATAAAAACTGCATTATTTTGATGAGAAAAACTGAATTATTAATAGCTTATAGATAGTAGTGCTTAAAAATTTATGGACAATGAAAGTCGCTATGGATTTTTTATTCATAAAATACACCATGCATGAAATCAAGCACTTAATTTATTCTATGTAGATGAGAAGAAAGTGAAGGCTATTTGAAGTTTGTCAACTTCAAAGAATACAAGCAAAATTAGGGATTCTCATGAACAAGAGATTTGTTAATAGTTTTCCGTTCATTGCTGTACGTCAATAAACTTGAAAGACTAAAATATCTTCCGCCTTCAAAACCACAAAATTATGAGGTTCAATTGCACCAGAAGTCTGAAAGTGGGGGTAATGAGAGTTTTAAGACCAAAAATGATTTGGATGCATAATTAGGATAATTGAGTTGACATGTCCAATTTCATGTGTTCCCGGCATCGATGTCACATGTAGTGTTTGCTAAAGTCCGTTTACACTTGCCCTTCTCTCTCTTTTGCCAACTCAGTTTACACAGTTTCAGGCACTGCCTCATTTTAAATATCCACATGTAGCCAGTTATGAATCAATAATGCTTTTTATGATTTGAAGATGCCATCATGTGCCTCCACCCATCTTAGCCACCCAAAATGCCACCAACTGTTAAGTCGATTCTCCATTTTCCCCCTTGCTTAGCTTCGTCGCCATGTCACCCTTTCCGTTTCATAATTATCAAATGTTTTGTTCTTAAAAAGAAATCCCCAACGAACAGATTGAAACAAACCGTTATCTTATCACCTCGTGATTGATCTAAAGCTGATCCATCCACACCGAAATTTACATCCAGCAAACCTTTTTTGGCAAGCAGCTGAGGGTCTCATTATGACTACCCCATCGTGCATGATTAACCTGTATTTCCATATAGAATGAGACAAGTTGTCCTATTTTTCACGATTACACACATTACAAAAGAAAAAAAAATAAAGGGCAGGGAGATGAACCGACAATTTGATTTTTAAGGAAAGACGTTGAGTAAGCTCAAAACCTCACAAGTGATATGATTTGCAAGTTTAAAAAACTCTTCTTGACCAGTTTTTGGGATTATACTCCCTTTAAACTTGTGTTTATAGTATTGGTACTTTCATTGAGAGTTCAATACTCATTTTGAACTTGGGCTTTACTTTTGTGTCTGTGTTCATAACATAATACTCCTTCGGTCCTTAATATAAGACCCATTTAACTAATTTAATTAGATTAAGGAAGTTAGGTAAATTAGTTAATTATAAGAAAAGTGACACATTTTTCCTAAAACACCATAATCATATTTCTTAATACCTCATCTTCCTCTTTTACTTGATTATAGTTGAGGGAGTATTTATAGGGGTAATTTAGAGAAAATTGATAAATATGAGAAAGGAGTCTTATATTTAGAACCAAAACCAATTCAAGAATTAGGTCCTATATTAAGGACCGGAGGAGTACTTGTTATGATGGCTTCTCAAAATATATTTTTCAGAGCATCCCACTGAAAAGGGTTTCTCTCTCTGGTAATGTGTTCAGATGATATCCAGATTAATCTTGATGCATTTCGACTATGTCAACGGAATGGCTGAAATAGTTTCGTTATGGAAACTGCATAAAACGCCCTCACCAAAATTTGCTTCTCATCGGCTGCGAAGCTCACCACTCACCGGCTTTGACACAACCATTGTAAAATAAAAAGCAGACAATCCTGAATTCCTGATATTCTCTAACTTAAATATTATAAAAATTTAATGCTGCCGTATATTTAAGTATAATTTCTACAAAAAAGTTGTTTGACCTTATCATCTTACATCAAAGGATTCCCATTTCCCAGCAACTTCGGATCTTGCACAGTCGCTGCATGTTACGGAAGTGAGTGGGTCACAACAGGGAACAGTTACACACATCTATGTCAGAAATTCCAAAAGAAGGGATAAAAAGGAGGGGAGAGGGGGTGTTACCATACCTTTCTGACATCACTTGCGTATAGAAAAATCCAGGTGAAGGTATGACACAGCAGCCACGAAAAAGAAGAAAAATGCAGACACCAGCATTAATGGCTCAGCAAGCATGAAGATAGGGTTAAAATTGTAGTGGACCTACAAAAATAATGGGAAAACACGGTTAGACACAACCAAGGGGATGTGATATTACATGAAAGAGCTAAACAGAACTGTAAGTCTTTGGGTGCTCGAGCTTGATTATAGAAATTGACAGTCTAAGATGCACAAACAGTCTTTGAAAGTATCACTCAGCCCCGAAGAAAAGCAAAACATGCTTGTTAAAGAGACTCCTATCAAACATAAAATTCCATACGTCATCGTCAAAAAACAACATCAACAACTGCTACAGAACTTTCAAATAAGACTACGAAACACAGGGTCATCATTCCCAACTAGACTTAAGCCGCCAGTGGACTTCCATCTATCCGCATTCATCTTTGATAGTTTAGAGGTCTGGTTCAATACAAGTCATTGTTAAGAATCAGTCCATCTCTTGTACCAGCATAAAAATTCAGGCCTACTGTTGCCACACAATTGATCTCTCATGAAATCAATATCTTCATTAACATTATATCGCACATTTGAAGGAAAATTTACTTGTTTTTGGACCTTATCTAGCATCCAAATTTTCAAAAAGTTTTATACAGTAATTTTTTTAAAGATCCCAGTAATACCTGGAAAGGAATGTTATGCTCAGGCACTACATTTCTTTTTTCTAAAACCACCACAGTCCTGCCAACAACGTCAAGGTATGAATGCTTGATCTGCAAATATTCAATCAGAAAATACAGTTAGCTACAGTTAATCAAATGCTTTACAACAGAAAGTCAAGATCTGCCACAACAGAATTGCTCACAATTTATCAAAGTTGCACACGCACATAAACACAATTGATAGCAAAACCTCTGCTGTTTTTCTTAAGGTGATAGCCCTGCAGAAGTTGCTTTATACCTGTTATGGTTTTCTTTCTAGATTTTTCTGGTATTCAATTTTTTTACGGAAATTTCCAAAGTGAACCTAATCATTTAGGTTGCTTGGTTGACCAAACACTCGAATCTCACACCGAGCAACAGTCAGACTGCATATGCTTAGACAACCACCTATCATCCAGGTATTACAATTCCCCAACCAATCCTCGTCTCCTTGATGAGAAAAATTTAACTTGAGGTGCCATACCTCTGAAGTCTGAACCATCAGATCATCGCTACAAGGTTGGCTATAAGGGTTATCATACTCAAAGATGCATATGAACCTTTAGCCACTACCTAAAATGCATGCTTCAATCATAAAGTTTAAACCCAAGCATGTCTAACAAGTGAGGGTCTATAAATAATCTTAGAGGTATAAAATATCCAAGTTTAGCCACGGGATAATGAATGTCTTGGTTGTTGTGATGTAATGAACCGCCCCTCTAGAGTCTTGCCCCAGCTGCTTCTACAAACAAATACTTTCATACGCTAGTCATATATTAACCACAGTAGAACAAGGCCCTTTTTTTTTTTAAAAAAAAAAAAAAAGCCAAATACTGTGCATTCTCAATAGACAAAATATGCATGACAAAAATGTTCCCATCACATGCCTTAACGGTCGAGAGATGTAAAGTGTGATTGAAAGCCTGACTAACACAGTAATACTTATATTTTCTGCTTTATTCTATTTATTCATATTGTATTCTTCTTTCTTCTGTAGGTGATTGAGAGATAATTTTACTAAAAAGAGGTAAATATTGGCCACTAACAGAAAATTTTCCACAACTAATAGGAATTGATTCCTAATTATTAGAAAAGTTACCTCTAGATGTTGCTCCACGGGAAATGAGATGACAGCTTTGGGATCTTTGGATCCCTCTGGTAGCACAACCTGAAAGTTAACAAGTCCTAACATCCATTATTATGTGCATAAGCACTCAAAGCAAAGAACAGAATTTGGCTTACAAGAACAAAGTAACACACAAATCCACACCCACCTTGACAAGCAACTTGTCAACAACTGTATCAGCAAGAGGACAACCAAAAGTGAAGTTGAGGTATCGGCCACCATCTGGAGACTCAAAAAGGAAATCCTCCAATGGTACCCCATAACCAATGACAAAGGTAGACTTCCAGCCTCCAAATAGAGGATAACGAGGCTCAATTAATAGTTCTGACTGCAGCAAATAAGCATGTCGCTAATGATTGTGAGATTAGACATCATAACCTACTAAATAACATGGGAAAAAAAAAAACCAGACCGAGCCGGCCAGTGGTTTGGTTGGTTTAGACATTAAACCTGGTCAAGAATTGAACCAGTATCGAATTGGTTAAACCAGTGTGAACCTGTTTGAATGATTATGTTGCTATTGGCCTCATTTTTTTCTCATTCAGCTCTTAATATCTCAGTCACTATATATTTGAATGAATTTTAGTGATTATTTTGGTATCAATGATTATTAATTTTAGTTATTGATGAATTGTAAACATTAAAATTCTCAATGTTGTTGTACTTTGTTATTGTTACAATCTAACTATTGTTATATTTCTTGTACTCTCTCTGTTCCTTATTATAAGAGACAAATAACCAAATTACGTTGATAAAAAAAAACAGTTAAAATTAGTTGAGAACAATAATGTGTAAAAAGTATAATGTTTTTTCCAACAATGCCCCCATTAATAAGGAGAGAGAGTATGAGAGAGAACAATTAAATTATTAAAAGAAAGAGAAGTGGGAGGGAGAGAGAGTATGAGTTGGAGACAAAATAAATAAGGGTAAAATAGGAAATTAATACAAAAAAATAGAGACAACTTTTAAGTGTTTCTTATATATGGGAACATACCATAAACATCAAATGTCTCTTATAATAAGGAACGGAGGGAGTATTTTGTTATTAGTGATTATTAATGTTGTTGTATTTTGTTATTTTCAATTAAATTATTTTATTTTAATATGATCGGTTTGACCTCGAGTTGACCCCAATCAGACCAACTGATCCTTGAACCACTACCTCAACCGGTTTAACATCCAATCCCGGTTTTTGTTCCTTGCTAAACAATATAAATGCAACTTTCAAAATCATTTTCCTCAATAATAAACTCAAAATACCTCAATGATAGCCAGAACAAATTAATTTAAACCAAACAAGGGTGCTACTGACATGAATAACATTTTAGCATGTAAAAAATACAATATCACAGTCTCATCAGAGTAGAATATATAGCCATTTGGTTACTTGATGAAACAGCTTGACTTGCTTCATAGTTCTTCCTTCAACCCAATTGCTAAGGATAATGGATAACCAAAACAAAAGAAAAGGCTTGAAGAAAATAACAAGCGTAGTAGAAGGTATTAAGACAAATGATGCTACTCAACTTGAATATGATTACTCTACGCCAATAGGAGGTGAGGAAAGAAAAGGGTTAACCCTAACCCAGGGGCATATATTACCTTAAAAAAATCTGTACGTAAACGTGAAGATGAAATATTCCCAATTCCATCCCGATAGTATACCGAATGAACTCTTGGAGGTAGTCGTGCAAGCAGATGTTTGAATGAAGACACCCCAGTATTACCTGGTTTAGTTTGATAATCAACCCTGTCAACAGCGGAACCATATTATATTGTGTGGAGATTGATAGAAAAGGAGAAAGCATCAAATTGCAGGCTAAAAGAAATCAGATAGGACCCTCCTCTACACCAGAAATTAATAAGACTATAAAATAGAATAAACAAGGGAGAAGGAGATAACTTGAGGTTGATGGTACTAACACAAGGAAAAACACGTTACATTCACAGATAAACAGCAGACCAACACAGAGACTTATACAGGGGTGTACAATTACAGCTTCAGACTACACACAAATCACTCGAACACAAAAAATAAACAACACACTCACAAACATACTCTCACACACAGGTCTGCCAATCTTTCGAGAGGTTAGCTCTCTCCTTCCCACAAGGGCCAAGTTCAATACAAAAATTCTCCACACCCCCTGTTAAGCCAAAGGAACGATTTATAAACCCCAAAAAGTAACTTCCGCATACCCCCAAATAACCCTCTTATAGCATGACCATGGCCTCCCTATAGCAACCCTATTTTTCCACTTCTTTCCCCAAAATAAAAAGTCAAAGTTCTGATACACAAAAGCATCTTTTCCCCTTTCATGTATTTTCCTAATTCTAAAAAATAATCCCAATAAAATCTAAAGACAGCAGACACAATACATTCATGTATCAGAAACTTTAATTCACCTGACAACTGATAAATGAAAAATAAGATCATTTCCATATTTAACTTGAGAGTAGAAGTGTTCCGATCATCACTGGGGCCAATAGGATATGAATAATCAACATAACGTAAAGATAGAGTATGACAAAAACTTTCACAATTTCATCTTCATGTGATGAATACGTCGTAATGCTCATTTTCTTCGGTTACTTCCTCCACTCACCTATGTTTCTGCTAAATGCAACAATGAAACACATGACGCAAGGACCATAACTTTCAATACTCATCAAACTATCAAACCATTTAGATAGCGCGTAAGTAGCTGACTATCTGTCAATACTGTGTGGCCACTTAAGAATAGGAAAAACACGCGACCGAGAGCATCAAGGTTTAGTGAGAATTTCCAATTCATTAACTATGTTTATTTATTTATTTTGCTCAACTTCCAATTCATTAACTTGAAATCCAGAATCTATCATGTATCTTTAAACCAGTTATGTCCTAAATAAGTACACACACAGATGGGTCACGTCAAAGATCAAGAAGGCAACTACTTTAGGGAATTGGAGAGAGTACTTCTGACAAATAGGCACTTTTCCAATTTCTTTCATCATGATTGCATATATTGACCATGAAAAGACTAAGTTCAAATCCACTCAGAAAGGAGTGAGTGGTGGATAACAATTTACCTTGAAAAAACACCTTTATGTCGGGCCCCTGCATGAACCAGGCTATATCGCTCTGTAACCTGGAGGTTGCCCCAGTGAGATATTTCAATTTCACGTTCTAGCTCCTCAACAACAGCAAATGGATTGTTATTTTCAAAATGAACAAGTATAGGAGCATATGAATATGGCGGTTGATTCTCATATGGTCCATATTTGATCTCTGTACTGGCACGTTTAGTAGGCTCCACCACTGTGAATGATTCCACCCGAGTGCTTGGTGTCTTAATAAAGGTTGTTTGTTGCTTGACATGATAAGGAGACAACAAAATAGCACTATCACGGAAATAGACCAACTGTGACTCTGATTGACTTATTTCTACGGGGAAAGGTTCCAGGGAACGTGTCAATATGTAAAGCACTTCTAGCGTTGCAGTTTCACCTTTACCTAGTGGATTTAACAATATTATAGTGAAATATTTAGTTCCATTTGGTCCAGCAGGTTGCTCAGTAGATTTCACACCAAGAGGAACATAAGTTTTCTTCTTCTTTTTTCCAGTAGTAGCAGCTGCTTTAACAATTGCTAGATGTTCAACTTCGGAAGGTGAAAAAGCAAGATTTACTTCTGAAACAGGCGATTCCCCAACATTCTCAACCTGAAAGAAAATCTCTATGAAATACACTTCAAAGTGGTAGTATAAGATTTAGTTAAGGAGAAACATAATTAGGTAAAACAAAGAAAAAATATTGCATTAACAAATCTTGTTGATGGTCCAAAAAAGGATTTAAATGTTTGGAAAATGTCTCTCAAACAATATTGGGCTACAGTCAGAAAATCGAATGAAAAGGATTATACTCAATTTAATTCTTTTTTCTCAAGGTTGAATATGTCAGTCAACTTATACAGATGCAAAGGTAGGTTCATAATCAAGTTAAGAACAAAAGAGTAGTTGCAATTAGTGAAAATTCTTTTTGGCCAAAAAAAATTAGTAAAATTTTTTGACACCGGGGAGGGTGTGAGGATCAAAGGGAGGAGGTTTACCTTCAATGTCAAATAAACCTTGATAATGTGAGAAGTCAAGTCAATCTGCAAGGATCATTGGAATATTAGTCATTACATGTATCTAAAACCAAAAAGATCACTTGAAATTCTGAGTGAACCCGAAAACAAAGGCTGAAGAGACAGCATATTTCCTCCAAAAGAAAAAGATCAGCCACATTTAACAAGAAGAAATGATGCTACAATAATAATACGCTAGTTATTTTACTTTACCTTACCAAGAAAAGTAAACCATTAAACATACATACGCACACAGGCTGCACAAGTTGGTTAAAGCGAGTAATGAATCCTCTACTATTTTAAAGAGTGACTATGAGTTGAAAGCAAAAATGCTGTGGAACTGAATGATAAACAAAGAGAACAGTGAAACAAAAATGAGACAATTTTTTTCTCACAAGTTTATTTTCTTTATTCTGAAGGGTTCCTAGACAAACGATGGAGGGAATAAAACGTGACATGGCTGAAACCCGATTTATTCTGACCAATCATTGGTTTGACAAATTCCACTACAGCATCCATGTATGGCACCACAAATTCACTATATTTACGCTTTCCATTAGGATATCTTAAAAAAATTTCCCCGTAATCAGTACCCTAAACAACATTTCCATAGTTCCCTCAGATCTTGAGTGACGGCTATCATAAAACATTACCCGTAATTAGCACCCGTAACAACATGTCCTATTTCCCTCAGATCTTCAGCGGAAAAACGTGCCTTAATTGCTAATTGATATTAAAGAAAATCTCGACAAACAGATTGAGGCACCAGATAAATTAAGCTACAGTCAGAATTTGGGAAAAGGCAGGCTTCCAATCAGAATAGCTACACGTAAATTTATCTTCCAAGCATCTCCAATAAGCAGACAAACATTCGATTTTCAAGGAAATTTAAAAACAGACCTCAGGAACCAATTCAGCATAAAGATGGCCAGATAAAATTATTTCTGATAAAACGTAAAAAGTGGGGAGTGAGCTTGGAAAACGTACTCTGCGTTCGGCATTGACGATCTGAAGTTCCTGAGAAGAAGCCTGTGAAAGAACTGATAGAAAAAGAGAGATGAGGAGAGCAAGGTGTAACAATCGAGCTCGGAGAAGAGCATCCATTGCTGGCTCTCGGTTTCTTCCCTGCAGTTGACGTAGGAAGGAGACTGGAAGTCTATTCTCTATATGCTTGCGAGTCTTAGTCTCACCTTTATGGGCCTATTAATCCAGCCCATAATTCTTTGGAGCTGAGTTTCCAATTTCATAGGCCCATTTATGTTCCAAATTATCATTTTCCTTTTTGGGCCAAATTTTCAATGCTTTCACCATGACTCGTACTTTCGCTAATGGTTGCAGATTATTAGAGATGACAGTTGGCACTTGATTTTTTTTTTTAAAAAAAAAAAAACCTGTAAATGATCTATAATCTGTTTATGGAACAGGACTTGAAAAACAAATTAAGCAGAATATACTTTCTGATATACTAACTCCAATTCTAATTATTAAATCTTATTTATAATTTATAAATAAGGTCTTGTAATTAGAAATGAAGGTGGTATATAAACGTGGTCTTATAATTAAAACCGAAGATAGTATTATTTTCAATTATTATGAGAAAAAATATATAATAAACTGTATCATTCATAAATCATAAACAATAGACTTATTTTATAAATTTGCCCCAAAAGAGTATAGCCTACACCTCGTTAAGTTTTGTTGATATGTTGACAAATGATTTTATATGGTTGACAACATTATACTATTAACACTATATTACCCTTCGATCCTTAATGTAAGACTTTGTTTGATTTTTATTTTGATCTTAAATATAATATCTTGATCCATTTTATCTCTCATATTTATTCATTTTTTTCTAAGGTAGTCTTTCTAATAATGGTAGTTCTAATAAATACATTTGATTAGCAAAGATATTTTAGAAAAGATGGTTTCTATTTATTACAAACAACCAACTTAACTTATTTCCTTAATCTCCTCAAATGAGTCAACTAGCTCTTATAATTAAGACTGGAGGTAGTACTATTATCCATTCATGTGACCACATGACACAACAAACTCATTTTCCCATATATTATACTACCTCTGGTCCTAATTATAAGAGCTAGTTGATTAATTTGAGGAGATTAAGAACAAAAGTTAAGTTAGTTATTTGTAATAAATATGTATTATCTTTCCTAAAATATCCTTGCTAATCAAGTGTATTGACTAAAACTACCATTGTTAGAATGACTACCTTAAAAAAAATACATAAATATGAGAGATAAAGTAGATTGGAGTCTTATATTTAGGATCAAAATAAAAGTCAAACAAAGTGTTATATTAAGGACTGAAAGTAGTAGTTATATAAAATTGAAAAGTTGAAGGTACATTTACATTGCGAAGTTTTTTTTCAGGTACATTTAACACCCTAAACTATTTTGTGATATATCTAACACATTGAAGTTTTTTTTTTTTTAAGTGCTTCCAGTGCTTTGAAGTATTTTTTTCATACATTTAGCATCATAAAGTATTTTTTTAAAGTACGTCTAACACTCAAAAACATTTTTTTGTGCATCCAGCACTAAAGCAAGAAAAATATTTCAGGACGCTGGACGTACTTGAAAAATACTTCAGAGTGCTGAATGTAGCACAAAATATTTCGAGGTGTGGGATATACCTAAAAAAATGTTTCGGAGTGTTAGATGCACTTTAGTTCAATTGAAAATAAAATAAGCCATGCTCCCCGCCCCCAACAAGCCAATGCTATTTATAACTTATAAACTCTGGAATTCATTGCCAACAATAATTGATATATTAACATGAATTGCATGTTCCTTGTAATTTTGAAAGTTTGATGAAAAATCCTCCATTGTAAAATTTATTACTTAAGGTTACCTAAAATTTACTCAGGAGTTAGATGCAAAGATGCAATTTATGTACAATCAATACGACTCTTTTTTAGCTATGTGCAACCTATTTTTATACAGCTAAAGATATGTTGTATACAATTAAAAAGGAGTTGAGCCACTCTAAAATTTGGGTTCTTAGACACCTTTAAAAAATATGTAATGAAATTTTTTCAGCAAATTGTCATATTATTTTTTATCTTTAATATAAGAGTTAGATAACTAATTTAAAAATATTAAAAAAATTAGTTAAATTTGTTATTTGTCATAAATGTGTGTTGAATTTTCTAAATTATCCTATTTAATCATGTATATTGAAATACCTCTTGTTAAAAGCCCTTATAATCAATAGAGATATTTTTTTAAAAAAAATAGATACAAAATAATTAAAATCTTATATTTAAAACTAACTTTAATCTTGTAACTAGGTTTTATATTAAGAATAAGAGATAATATAATTTTTTTTAATTAAAAAAAATGTCAAATCATCACATCATTTTGCCTTTTCTCACATCATAATTCTACTTGTTTCCATGCAAAATAAGACTCGATTTAAAGTGAAAAGTTTCATCACAAAATCAACCAAAGTCAAAATTTTAAAAGTACACGTTGGTATTAATAGAAGTTAGCCTAATTAGAAAAGAATCAGCTCATGACCCATAAAATCATAAATTTAAATCTCATTATCAACACAAAAACCTTATTAGTGGACAATCTATAAGTATTTTTCTAAGTGCTTTTTAAATCTAGAAACATCCAAGACCCAACTTACCTAAAAATTTTCGTGCCAAAGTAATGAAAGTACCCGTTGGTAGTATTTTAATTTCCAAAAAAGGCGAAATCTTGAGTAGTTCAAACTTGCATTCGGTTTAAGGAAAAAAAAATAAAAGGGTTCAAACTTGCACACATGGGCGTCTAAAACCTAGCAACCAAAATGTAATCACTTGTTAGTTTCGAATCGTCATGCCTGGCAGAGTGAGAGTGATGAAACGACCAAAGGACTCGACAAGCTTCTTCTGAGAACACATTCAAAAATTTATATATTTTGCTCGAGTCTATCCCAACCATCTGCTCAAATACAAACTTATACCCAGGTCGCGTGGAAAAAAACATCTCCACCGTATGTACAGAACCCCCCCAAAAGACAAGAAACATTAATGACAGGAAAAAGCTTAACCCAGAGAAATTCCAACATTCACCCTTCCATACCCAGTTGGTGCAACAAGTCAATATAGAAGCTCCATGGTGGTTCAGTCATCAGTGCATCCCATCCCCTACCCATTTCGGTTTCACCGGTTCGTTGTATTAGCTGGCTGATGCATTTTTATGTAGAATTTCTCCAAGAACCCTCCTCCATCCCCCTCTCTCCCAAAAAAAAGAAATAAAGGAACATAATGTAGTGAATTCCTATCTACTCTTCATTTATACCCCTTGAGTACTAGCCTCCACCGTTTTCCCAATTTTATTCTTTTACACATTATATTAAACAACAAAATCACAGCACAAATAAATCTTGTGTCCATCTCTCCCATTTACCACCCTCCTTCCCAACCTTTTTACAAACCAAAAAGGGGAAAAAGCTACTTTGAACATGGTTTCTTTCTTCCACAAAATTCCGATGGCATTACCTCGGCTTTGTTTGTGATCTGTATGACAATAGTGGTTGGAGAAGCCTCTGGCGTGATGGACTACCTAGAAATGAGGCTTGAGATCGAGTAAGCATCTCAGCCATTGACGGGGTCTGATATGCTTGAACAAGACTTGAACTATCAGTGGAATCACCTCTTGCTGTGGCTCTTTGCCAAGAGTGGGAACTCAGCCCAGAAAGAATGTACGCTCTCCCCGATGCTTCATACACATGCCGACTCACCATCCTCTCTTGCATTTCCTTGAGTTCGGCATCCAATGCAAGACAAAGGCGATCCTGGGATCTGGCTGAAATAGACTCCGAGAGCGTTTTTCTGCAGTTTTCAAGTATTGATACTGCAACTGTTAAATCTCCACGTTCAGCTGCACTTCGTGCTTGGGCCATTGCTTCAGCTGCTTGAAGCCTATTGTGCTGTCTGTCCACTTCAAGCGACTTAATCACTTGCCCAACCTTTTCAGGCCTCTGCAGTTTTACTTCTTCACTTTCTGATATTGTTGTCTCCTGAGTTAATGGATCTTTGTACACGCAGTTGACTTTTATCAATGATGTTTCACTGCCATAAGCAGCCGGGACATTAACTGAAACTAGGAAATCTCTCTCTTCATCGGCATACAAATCTCCAACATCAATAAATCCTTGACGTCCGCCAGCCATCACGCGGCTTGGATAACTTCCAGCCTTAAGTGAGACAAGGTTGAGATTTTCATCTATGCCCTCAATTGCGACTTGCAACTCCTGAACCACAACACTCAAAAGTCCGCCAATGCACTGTGCAAATGCATCCTGTATCACAGATTCAGTCTCAATGAAGGAAAAAGTCCCCCCAGAGTTCTCTGAAATTGAGTGCATTGATGAGGCATCATGATCTGCACCAAATCCAAAAGCATGCACTGGAATTTGGAATCCCGAAGTGCCACGATTACTGATAGACATAGGCAGAAGCAAATGGTAGTTTGGCTGTGGTTGGTTAGTACCAGAACCACCAACAGTGTAAGTATCTTGCCCATCAGATAACAGTATTATGCTGGCAACTGGATTTTTTTCTCTTCGTTCTTCCATTATCTTGGCGCCTTTTCTCAGGCCCTCAGCAATGTTTGTGCCCCCATTTGCAACCAAAGAGTTAACAGCTTGCAGTGCTTGTTGCCGCCCAGAGTCAGACATTCTGCGGAGAGGAAACAGTCGGCGAGCGGTAGAAGAGAAAGCAATAACTGATAGTCGGTCATTTGAACCTAAATTCTGGATAACAAATCCCATAGCTCTTTTTAGTAGTGCGAGTTTAGTGCCAGCCATGCTACCACTAATATCAAGCACTGTAACTAGGTCAACAGGGGCACGCGGAGTCTGAGAAACCTGCGTTGGGCTAGCATGACTTCTACTGAGGTTGGGCGTTCTGGTTGCTGCTGCTACAGCAGTGGCCTTGAGATGGACCAAGACATTAAAGTTACTATAAGAGTTGGACTGTGGAGCAACTGACACTTCAGGGTATGTCTTAATTTCTATTGTTTTAACAGCACCTGTATCAGCAACACTCTTACCAGAACATAGATGTTCGAGATCTAAGGATTCATCATCGTTAAATACACCTGGCTCTGGAGCCTGATGAAGTGGAACAACATGTCGCCTATTCAAATCTCGTCGAGGGGGTGGTCGAGGAAGGCTGTGGACAACTGCCATGAAAGCATTATTTGGTGAAACCCTGCCAGGGAGAGGATCCAAACTGGGATCCAGTAAGGGTATTTCCTTCCACTTTGCTCGGCACACTGGACATATTTTGTTTCCATGTTTCACGTTTGAAGCAATGCAGTGAAAATGGAAGGAATGTGAACATTCAGCAGTGAACAAAGCATGCCCACACCCTTGTTTCATTTTGGTTAAGCATATTGAGCAGGTTTGCTGAATAAGAAGGGGGGAAAAAAACATGTTAAGATAAGAAGCACAGATACTTGAATTTCTACAATTTTACAAATTAATATGAGAAGAAAATTCATACGCGAACACACACGCAGATAAACCAAAATTTGTGAGATACCAAATACAGGGTGCTTCTACATACATATAACGAATTGAAAATGTTAATACTAGCAGCACAAAATATGCAGCCAAAGCTGGCACCCTAACTTATTATCTAAAAGATTCAGAGGAATATGTACTATTCGCTAAACTTGCACACCGTCATTAAGATATCATTTCAAATTTTGGGACTGATCAGGCAGCTTAGACGAGACGTGCTAGCACCACTATAAAGACATCAGTCAGATTTAAAATAGAAACCAATTTCATCTCCAATTTCTTTTACCAGGTCTTAAGCCTAAATTGGATTTGACTTTAACCATAAAATTGTATATTAAATTATATCATTTGATAAAATACATAACATGTGCAATTACTACAATGACTACTCTGGAAAAAATAGATAAATATGAAAAACAAAATAGATATTAGGGTCTTATATCTAAAACCAAATTAAAAGTCAAGCTAGCTCTTATATTAAAAACCGGAGGTAGTAACATTTATTTCCCTTTCTCATCTTCCTTTTTCGATTTCAATATTTTTCCCAAAGGAAGATCATAAATTCTCAATCAAAAGATATGACCTACAAACACACAGATTTCCATACTCTGTGTATTAGGCACGTCTTTAAGTAGGCAAATATGAGCGCTCCTGATAGAGACTAAAGCAGCTTTTGCACTTGCCCAAAGAAATTTACAACAGAAACAGTAAATTCTCAGAGAGTCGTTCGTACTTGGCTCTCACAACCAGCCAATTTGATTTGACTAATGAACAAACTGGTTATGGTGTCATGCATGTATACTTTTTTTTCCCCCTTAAAAGCAAAACTTGACCATTAGAAAAAGGAAAAGAAACGAGTCTTATCCACAAGAACTTGTTGTGCACACATAATGCGATGTTGAAGCGAGCAGTTATCAATTATATCAAGATGAGGTCCCGCAAATGCATATAGAGAGCATTATTGATTAAAAAAGAACTTCAAATCACAAACACACACATAACATCGAAAGTTTGAAAACAATTCATGAAAACTGACAGCTCTATCACCTAACCCATGTCACAACAAAGTGGAAAATAAGAAATAAAGCAAAAACAAACACGAAAAAATTTATGCAAAATATTAGTAATAATATTTCAGAAAAATAAAAATTAAGAAATTCTATGATTTTTAAATCAGCTTTGGTCATTTTCAAGTTTCAGGATACAACGTCCTCTCCTTTTTTCCGAATAATAAAATAATAATCGGCCAATCCGCAAAAGCCCAATATGCTTAGATTTCTCGAACTGTAATTCGACAGATTTACAGCAATAAATCCCACCACAACACAATACCTAACCTCTATTTGCAGGTAAATAGGATTACAACAAGAAAAAGAGGTTTTTTTTTTTGGGGGGGGGTTGTATAATTGAACTTTTTATCATTTTTTAATGAAATCAGAGAATAAGTGTAGCAGAGAAACCAATTGAGCACAGTAAATTTTCCATTATTCATGCCTCGTTTTCCCATCCTTGCTTGAGCCCATTTTCTCAGCGACCAAACGGAGCACAGTTCATGACAAAAAGCATGGATGGTGACACGGACGTGGAACAAGATATCTTAGCATATGCAGTGTCTAAACTCTAAAGTGTTAGTTGGGGGGTCATGTCATATCTGATTCAAACATAAGTCTGCGGAATTTGAAATATCGGCGACCAAAATTCATTGAAATTTCGGAACCGGAATAACAGTTGCAAAAAGAAAAAGGACGGTGAAGAAGGAAAGGAGACCAACCTTGGACGATTTGCTCGCACTTTTCGACAGCTTCAAAGCGTGAGAAGAAGCCGCCGGAGCGGCGGACATCGAACGCGAAGAAGCGATGTCCCAATTTACAGGCGAAAGCAGAGCAGCGTCAGATAACCGCTCGGAAACCTCCGTAGCCGGGGGCGAATCCATGTCGTCTGAAGTTCTGGGGACGAAGACACACAGATTCAAACCCAGAGCAAGCTTCGCCTTCTTCCATTTACTCCCCATTTCAGCTGAAGATCTGAAGAAAACCACAAATGTCGTCCCAAGAAAAGAAAAACAAGAAAGCAATTCCCAAACGCAGGAAAACGAAGCTCAACGGAGCAAAACTCAGATCTCAAACAAAGAGTATGAGAAAGGAGAAGGGAACAGAGATCTATAAAAAAGCTAAAAATGGAGCACGAAAACCGAGAGAAGGGGGCGATTATTGAATACGTGAAAGGGGAAGGAGGCAAGTGGGGTTGAGAGGTCAGAATGGGATACGAGGGAGGTTGGTGAAGAAGGAATGAGAATGAAGAAGAAATATGAAGACATTAATTGAGGCAGCCATGAGGAAGAAGAAGAGTCTGAGTAAGAAGAGGCGGTTGAAGGATGGTGTGCTGAGGAGGATTTTGACCTGCGCTGTATTTGTTGGCTTTACCTTGGTTGAGTTTTGTAGGTAAAAGAGTGGGAAAAAGGAGGCTCTCTCATAAAAAGCACGTTCTGCTTCAACCAGCGGAAAGTTGAAACCTTTATTATCACCCACTGCTCCTTCAATCATTCATTCTTCCCGTTTTACCCCCTCCTCTTTTCACCCGTCCCTCACAATTCATCTTCAACTCCAATTTTATAATAAAATAATATATATATCTCTTTTTATTTAAAACTGTTTTTTCTTGGAGAAATTATGTGCCATTGTTTTCAGGAAATTTTAAATTAAATAATATTTCATTTTATGTCATCTGTTTGGTAAGTAAAGTTTTGAGATTTACCTGATTTATAGTAAAATCACTTGTCAACAACCAATTCAAATGGGCACTTTAAGTTTATGATAAATTGATAATATTCAGATAATGTTAAGAAATGTAAGAAAATAAAATAAAAAATAATTTAATAAGTCTCTTTTTTTCTGATTTTAATTGTAATGATGAATTGTCCATATTAAACATCTATCTTACTTCTGTGTGATAATGAAAATGTTTGACCGACCGTAAGAAGGTGGATTATGTAGAGCTCTTATCAAAAAAAGAAAATGAAAGGGGGGAAATAAACAGCTCATAAAATAAAATAGGTTGGGTTTATATAAATAGAGAGAGAAAGGCTAATATTCGCAGATAAATTAAATATAGCGATATTTATTTAAATGGGGGGGTAATTAGTGGTATTAATGATTAAAGGTGATAAAAAAAATGAGAAACAAGTTGGTGAGTGGAAACATGTCATAATCTCTCTTGTGGAGAAAAAGGTGGGATATATGGGTAATAAGAGAAAAAGGGGAAAATTCTCCTTAGAGGGGAATCTCATATATATATATATATATATATATAAATGTATCTGTGTGTGTGTGGATGACCGAGTTCTGTGAATGGAGGGTTGCATCATGATGGACTATCATTGGGCATGAGTCAACATTGTGGGATTTTCTTAATCATTCCTTTTTACAGAATTATTTTACTTTTCCTTTTTTTTGTTTTAAAATTTATTTATTTATTTATTTTGTTTTTTGGGGGCTCACATGCGACGATGATAATATCCACACGTGCACATCATCGCTGAGGCTACCATGTCAACCCTGTTGACATTCATTACTGTTTCTTTCTAGATCTCTCTTCACATGTCTCCGGCTCGGCTTTTTTTTTTTTTTTGGTTGGGTTCGTTAAAGCGCCCTTCTTATTCTTCTCCTTCTTTAATTAATTATTGTATTAATTTGGCTCCATAATTCATGATTTGGGATTTTGACTCAATCAATTATTCAACTCGCCATTATGTTCTTTCTGGAGACCTTGCCCCCACGCCTTAAATCATTTTAATCCAACACTTGAGCGTTTCATTTTGAAATTTATTCGGGACAGTGATGGCACACTTGAATGAATTGATCTGTGTTTAGTACTGTTATACTACTTCCGGTCCTAATTATAAGAGTTAGTTAACTAATTTAATGAGACTAAAAAAATAAATTAAGTTAGTTATTTGTAATAAATAGGTGTTGTTTTTTTTAAAATATTCTTACTAATCAAGTTTATTGGTTAGAAATACTATTATTAAAATGACTACTTTGAAAAGAATACATAAATATGAGAGACAAAATGGATTTGGGTCTTATAATTAGGATCAAAATAAAAGTCAAACGATATCTTATACTCCCTCCGTTCCTTATTATAAGAGACATTTGATGTTTATGGCATGTTCCTATATATAAGAGACACTTAAAAGTGGTCTCTACTTTTTTGTATTGATTTCCTATTTTACCCATATTTATTGTCTCCAACTCACACTCTCTCTTCTTTCCACTTCTCTTCTTTAATAATTTAATTGTTCTCTCTCCTTATTAATGAGGGTATTTTTGGGGAAAAAATTATATTTTTTACACATTGATTGTTCTTAACTAATTTTAACTGCTTTTTTTTATCAACGTAATTCGGTTATTGTCTCTTATAATAAGAAACGGAGGGAGTATCAAAGACGGGGTAGTATTATTTAATCATGAAATAATAATACTAATAAAATTAATTTTTTGAGAACTCATAATAAAATAATATAATTCTTGATAACTAGTTGACGACAAGGTATTTGACCTTTGAACAAATCTCCATTAATAATTAATGTGGCGCGCAATTCTGGAAACATAAATATGAAGCAGTCGGCGATAAAATTTTATTCAAAAAAAGCGGTTGTCGACGATAGGAGATGATGAAATCATTAATATAAATTAATTCATTGTTCCCTGGCATGTTTTTTTTTTTGTTGGGTAACGCTTCATTTGCTTTGTAATGCTTCAACTTCACAATTGAATTGTTTTAATTTTAGATTTCATATAAAATGACAAATATATTAATATCTTATGGTAATGAAATGGTTTTTTTTTTACGACTTTTTAAAGAATATAAAATTACATCATTCGATCACCATAATATCAAAATACTACCTCTGGTCCTAATTATAAAAACCAGTTAACTAATTTGAGGAGATTAAGAAAATAAATTAAGTTAGTTATCTGTAATAAATAGGAGTTGTTTTTTTCTAAAATATCCTTGCTAATCAAATGTATTGGTTAGAACTACTATTGTTAGAAGGATTATCTTGAAAAAAAATGTATAAATATTAGAAATAAAGTGAATTTGGGTCTTATATTTAGAATCAAAATAAAATTTAAACAAAATCTTATATTAAGCACCGATCTTACTTTTTATAAAATTTAATGATCACAAAAAAAAAAGTTGAGACATTATAGGGCAAAAAAAAAGGCATACAGGTGGAAGCTTAGAAGCCTCATGCTCGTCCATGCACAGCTAGCGTCAAAATTGGGCATTGAATGGTCGAGTTTCTAGATCATGGAATTCTTCAATAAAACATGGCTTCTAGAATAGAATTTTATGCAAACTTATATCTTTACACACATTACTTTTGATTCTTAATATTATTTTCTATCCTAATTATAAGATTTTATTAACTAATTTAAAAAGATTAAAAAATTATTAAATTAATTAATTATAACATATATTATATGGTATTATTATACATCAATTTATAAACAAGGCATATTATTAGTTTAAAAAAACAATAAATATAAATATTTTCAAATAATTTAGTGACTTTCTCAATTTTTTTCAAATTAGTCAATCATCACATCTTATATTAAGGAGCAAAAATAGTACTACTCTAATCTTAACTATAATACCTCATTTTATAAATGAGGTCTTGTAATTATAATTAAAGGTTGTATAATGCTAAAAAGTATGCTGCCAATAACCAGAATAATCTCCTTTGAAGAAAAGATCAGAGCCACGTGTTTCGATCTTGCTTGGCCCGTTCATGATCGTTTGTGGGATTTGGTGGCTTTCAACATGGTTTCTCCGTTTATTTTTATTTAAAGCAAGAAATACTTTAAATAAAAATAAATAGTTTCTTATAATAAGAAATAAAATTACGCTTCCATTTGTCCCTTATAAAAAAAACTGTGGACTTGTCCAGGATAAAATCATAGGTTAAAAAAAAAAATCAAGTCACAACTAATTTTTGTTGGTATACCGACTCTCTTTGATGGAATTGAAGTACCAACCTTCAAAAACATCATTTTATTAATAATTTACAGAATACGAAGTAAATATATTGAAAAAATTTTGTTCTGGCTCACATAAAAATGCTTATAATAAGCACTTAAAATAATCAGATCCGACGAAGTGTTGTTGGTGACAAAAATCTGGAGAGCACCACAAATAGGAAAGGGCATGCATTTGAAATGTGAGGGAGATAAAGGGGTCTGTGATGGGGGGAAGTAGTGAGTGGCATTGTTGACTTTTTATTTTATTTTGCTAAAGCATAGATATTTTATGATTGAAAACAATCCCATTCGAAGCACTATCAGGCACTAAAATGTAGGTACCTCTCTCAATGGAGATTCAAACCTTCATTCGTTACGTTGTGAGGAATTAACCCCTTCTGCTAGACTCAACCCTCTGCTGGTTGTTAAATATTGATGAAAGGTTTATAGCTTTATGGAGATAAGGGGGATGGGCCAAACAGTGGATTCTTCCCCAAACATGTAATTGGTGTAATGTGGAATCATTATAATCATGATAATGAGTTCACTTGCCACTATGTGTGTGGTTAGTCTAATACCCAATCAGCCAAAGCTTCCAAGCTGTCACTACTCACTCCTTATGCTCCACTCCCGACACCACATTATGATCTCTCTTACACACACCTTAATTCTAATTCTAATTCTTGGAAAAAAATTTAAAAAAAGTCCCCTTTTCCCTTAGATACATTTCAATTTATTTGCAAAAAAAAAAATTTACCCAAATCTTTTAATATACGATCTATTTAACTAATTTGATTAGATTATCTAAGTTAGTTAATTATAAGAATTGAAACACCATAATCATCTTTCTTAATATCCCCTCTTCCTCTCCTATCTTATTGTGGTTGAGGGAGCATCAATAAGAGTAATTTAAAAAAATTGATAAATATGAAAAATATGTCTTATATTTAGAATTAAAAATTATTAAATAATTAGGTTCTATATTAAAGATATTAAAGATATGATAAATATATTTTTAGCATATACAAAAGTAGCTTCACTTGTCTTTCAAGCCATGTTTCATTGGAAATTGGCCTTTTAATACCATAATAGTTCAATGCTGACATGACCACGCTATTTGTCTTTTATTGATAATTACTCCCTTCTGTCTTATAAATGTAGGTAAAACTAGGAGCTCTCTTTTTTAATCCTAAATATTAAAAAAAAACTAACTATTCATATTTATCTGAATTTTATTAATTAATTAATTACTTTATGGTCGTCATTAAATATTTGGTAAAAAATTAAAATTAACTGGGGCATTTTGAAAAAATAAAAAATTACACTTTGTATACTTTTAATATATAGTGAAAGTTTTCAATTAAATTCTTTTATCTCCGCATATACATGTTCATTATTTGTTTCTCATACAAAGAATCAGAGAACTTTATCACAAAATTACTAAAGATCGTAACTTTACTAAAAATAT